GAGGTTTAATTTTGGTTGTTCACATTTGAACCCAATATCAACCAATAATCAATGTAGTTTCAACATCAGATGCCTGCTGGGTTACTACCTCTAAAAAATCCCAGAAAAAAGATGTGAAAAGTGAAATCTTGAAAAAGCACCTCTGCTAAGGTTTGTAGCAAAAACATATTTGCCTTATTAAAAAATTTTACTGACATGAAAGTTCACATGGGTGTTGGCTTGAAAACTTGATTGACAAAATTTGTGAAGCTCATTCAAAAAAAAAAAAAAAGGCAGCCATTTCTGCACCATGGTGCAACAAGGGACACGCCTAAAAATGCTTTTACAGTGCAACCTCAGTTAGCAAAGGCTCCAGTTAACCAAACAATCAATTAACAACAAACATTTTTTATTTCATTTATCTCACTCAGCGAAAAAAATTCATTTAACTAAAAATTAATGCATCATTCGTTATCACAAAATTGTGCATTGAATGTCATAGATAGAATTGTCTACCGGCAACATAGATTGCAAAGTAATTAACCTAAACTATGATTTATTTCTCCAAAAAATATGATGGTTGTCACTAAAATATTCCTTACTGTTTCAGGTATGTTTTTATGATCTTTTTTTGTTATAGTGAATTCACTTGACCCAATTAAAATGGTGCAAAATTGTAAGCTGTCCTGTAAGCTTACAGATACGGAAGAAATGCTACATAGCTGCTGGTATGAAGCTTGCAGTGGACAAGGTCTTTTTAAATGCACACTCGCATGTCCATGGATACAGTAATTTCACATCAATAATATAATGTATGGATGTGGTAATATCATATAAATAAAGGAATGAGTAAAAATCACCGAAAATGGCATTTATTCCACAACTACATCATCTACAAAGGAAGAGGAGGACTTCAAAGTGCTGTTAGTAATGGATGAGTATTGAGTACACTCTGCATGCTTCAAACATTTTAAAATTGAGTTTTATTTCAAGTGTCCCGGATTACCCCGTTCTTAGGGGTAATTTGGGTTGCTTTTTTTTATCTGTCACCTTATAAATAGCATATGGAATTTTTTTTGGAGATGCCATTCGATAGCACTTGGAAAGAGCTTTAAAGTGAGCCCAAACTTGTTTGATTTGTTTCATGGTAAGAAGTTATTAATGAAAAATTCTCAAAACTATTAGATGTCCCCTAGCACTAAACACTGAACTGGCAATGACCTCATCTACAATTATTGGATTAAAACTATTCAAAACCTGATCTAGTGATACTGCAATCCCTGCATATGCTGTCATGAAAGCTAGGTATTAATCACTTTGGACTCTTTTAATTGGTGTCTTATTTGAGGTCTTCAAACTTTCCTATCAAAGTTATTCATTCATACCAGAATTAATGATGACCTGAACTATTGAAGTAAATCATGGAAACAGTTGTTTTTAGTTGTAAATGAGTAATTTGAGGTTAAAATGAAAATACCGTCAACCGGGGCTACTCGGGACGATTTTGAACGTTTTTCATTCATAAATTCTTACCATGAAACATTTCATAAATAAGTTTAGGCTCATTTCAAAGCTCTTTGCAAGGGCTATCACATGGCTTCTACAAAAAAATTCCATATGCTATTCGTAAGGTGCCAGAAGCAAAAAAAAAAAGTGTCCCGAGTAGCCCCATCGACCGGGGCTACTAGGGACACTTGAAATAAAACTTCATTTTAAAACATTTGAAGCCTGCAGAGTGTACTCATCCATTACTAACAGTACTCTGAAGTCCTCCTCTTTCATTGTAGATGATGTAGAGGTAGAATAAATGTGAGGTTCTACTGTAAAAGCGTTTTTGGGGGTGTCCTGAATAGCCCTGGGGAGGGGGGGTGTCCCGAGTAGCCCCGCCATGCGGAAATGGCCGCCATTTTTTTTTTTTTGATTGAGCTATGTAAATTCCGCAAATAAAGTTTTCATGCTGACACTTGTCTGCCACTTTTTTCTAAGCAAAATTTTTTAATACAGCAAATATTTTTTTACTACAGACCTTAGCAGAAGTAACTTTACAAAATATCGTTTTTCACCATTTTTTTCAGGAATTTTTCAAAGCTAGTAAATGTAGTATTTTTGAACTTCCTTTATACTACGTACATAGATAGGAAAAATGTAGATGTTTATGCCACTATATTTAATTTTGCAATATTCCAATTAGTTTTGCTACTAAAACAGTTTTATGTTGTGTCAGAGGACTGTCCTGAGTTACCCCGCCCGTCCCAAGTAGCCCCGGTTGACGGTAATATAAAAAACATCCATAGGTTCAATTTTTGGCTTTAAGGAAATAGTAACCAAGATTTGCAACATTTCTAGTGCTTGAAAAATGTGAACTTATATGGTTGCCTAATCAACATAGATGTAGCATGAGAATAGTGAGGTTGTAACATTGGGCTGAGCTCAAACTGAATAAAATTTGATAAGTCTAGTTTAATTTAGGTCTGCATATATTTGTAATTTATTCATTACTGTTGGATTATGTTATGTTATGTGAGGTACCGGTATTACTATGTGCTTTATTTAATATATCTTTCTTTTCTGAATGTAATGTCTGCTGCAGGAATGCTTTGGATATTTTTCTCCAATTTCAGGCAGACAAGATGGTGTCCAACTAAGAAATGAGTGCTAATCAGTGTTCATCAATCAATAATTTGAACATCAATAAACTAGAAAAAATAGAAAATATTATTACCACTGAAAATCTTTCTAATGCATGCAATGCATTGCAGTCACTAATACAATCTAGTGATGGAAATGATAAAATTGTCATAAAAAGCTGGACATTGAACTCGAGTAACCCTTTCATAGCCATGAAAAATGAGTTGAAACCTTATAATTCAGTTGAAAGAATAAACAATTGGAGCTCCATGGCTGACTGTAAATTATCTCCTAGTCCCGTTTTCAATTTGAAGAAAAAGGATCCAATTACTTCCAATATGCTCATTGCTCCTCATCAGAAAATTACAAATGGAAGTGGAAATGGCCATGAAGATACATTGAAGGCCACTCATGATGCGCCTGTGGAAATACCATCCATTAATAAAGGATTGGTCTCAGACTATCCAATCTTTATTAAGGAGATCAATAAATCTGTATATCCAGGCTCAGATACGTCACTTGAAGATGAATCCCCTCCATCTTGCCCATCAACAACATGTGAATTGGCTGAAAATGATAAAGAGATATATATTACAGATAGCATCTTGTGTAATTTTGATTTTGCTGCTGATACATCCTCCAGAATATCTCCAGCTCCACCATCATTATCCCCAGATTTGATAGACGAGTCAAGTGTAGAATTTCTTGATTCATTTGATCCTGTCATAACTAGCAATCTGCAAACTGAGACTGTACTAAGCCAAAAATTTGGTAGCTTGACAGTACCAGTAGAAAAAAGTGATAAAAGAAAACGAGATGTTTTTGAAATCACACCTTACTATCATTGTAAGTCCACATCTTCTACAGTGAGAAAAGTTTCCATAAACAAACCTGTTGTGGATAATTCTGAAATGAGGCAGCCTAGTTTGATTCCAGAAAATTCAAGCTCTTGTAACAGGAAAAACAGAATTTTTGTCAAAGCAAGTAAAGTTGCAATTCAGAAGAAAAAAGTTGCTGCTAAATTATTCAAGTTGAATAGAGATGAAAGCGGCCTGCACTCAGCTGACTGGAGCCATGAAGGTGAAACTCGTATTGAACTCTTAGAACAATACAATGGACCTATTGCTGGCAAACGTAGGCTGGGTACCAATGTGATTAAGATTAATCCCCCACTTACTGAATGCAGTATTGGCAAACCTGTTCCAGATGGAACTCAAGCTATGAAACCAGAATCACCCTTAAAGAATAAAACTATTATTGAACAAGGTAAAGTGAATAATTTGGTTTCCTCAGAGAAGCCTTCCAATTGCTATTCATCATTTGAATTTGTTAAGAAAACTGCTTGTTCAAAAATTCTCCCAACTATTCTTAGTCGTGCTCATTTACCTCCAATTATAATGAACCAAAGAAAACGGTTAACTGACTCGGAAAAAAAAAAAATTTATGAACCACCTATTGAGCAAAAAAATAATAACAGTTCTCTGAAACCTTGCAAGTTAGTCAGTGTCAACATGGATAAATCATTGCATTCACCAGTAAATTACATTTCAAGTCAGAATTCTTTGAACAATCAGACTTATGTTCATGTGCCATCAAAGAGAATTAAACTCAACTCTGAAAACCCTACGTCAGAAATATCAGAATTTGTAATTGAATCTGAGCTTACATGCCTTCCAAAAGGATCTTACCACACTTTCAACTCTACTGTTTTGCATTCAGAGGAAAAGGCCTCTCAAACAACTGATTTAGAAGTATCTCTAACAGAGAGATCTGCTGAGACATCTTCCAAAAATGTTCATATTCAACCCAAGAGTACTTCTGCAAATGTGTTGTCCTGCCCAGCAAAGACACCTTCTCCCTCCATTTCTGCAATAACAAATCCTATTGTTACTCAATGCATAAGCAATCCAATTTACTATTCTTCCAACAATTATCCTCATGGTGAACTTAATTCAAGCAGTAAGCCAGAAGTCAGCTTAACTCTCTCTGAAAATATTTTTCATGCCATCCCCATTAACAGGATCAATACAAGTGCTCCAAAAATTACATTCCCTAGTGTGAAATTGATTCCTAGAAGTCCTCAGTATGTTGTAACGAATTCTCCACTGAAAGATTCCACTGTGCATTGTCCAGTATCGCAAATGCAGGCAGCTACTGCTGTCGCTTCAGAAAACTTAAGGAATGTTGAAGATAACATCCAAAGGCAAGCCTGGCAGCAGCCTTCATGTTTGTCTCATATTCTTCAAGTTGGGATCCTGCCAGTTCAAGCCATTGCAACTACAACTCAATCTGCAGATGAAGCTATACATGGTTGTATTGAAACGTCAAAGTTGAGAAAAAATTTGCTAAAGATCAAAGTCTACACTGGAACCAGCTTCTTGAAAGACACTACAGGAAACCAGAATCTGCCTAATGGTGAGACTGCATTTGTTTTTAAAATAATTAGTCTTATTCTTTCTGTTTTATCTTCCTAAATCTAGGGACCTAGTGAGTTCTTTCAAATTACAAGGTATTACAATGTACATATATGTCATTTTTCATCAACTAATTCATTTACTAGAAAATGTAACATTGACTTTTCTTAGTTCAATTTTCAATACCGTACCTCAATGTGTTTTACCTCGATGGGCTCAATCTGGGATTTGATATCCTTGAGATTTAATCAAATTCTTAAATTTGGTACAAAAATTTATGCCGTGTATTAATCCTTTATGCACTTATTATCAATATTATTTCCAATTTCATCATTGAAAAACCTCTGAAAAATGTCCAATCTTGCAGGTTCTCATGAAGATATTGGGATCACCATTGAGGCCTTGGAAACTGAAGGAATTGACTTAACATCTCTGGTATGTGACCCTTTAAACTCCAGCAAGGAAGGACCATATGTATTTCACTTTCCACCTAATGCTTCAAAAAATAAGAAATCATATTTTAAGGTGAGTTCTCATTGTTTTTATATCACTTCAGTACAAATGCAAGTAATATTAGGTCCCAGTAATGCCAGGCCTTATTTTGAAAACCAAGTGAGTTAATTTTTATTATGCAAGTAATTAAGGAAGTGCTTGCAGGCTACATAGGATATTTGCGTGTTTGGGTATTAGTACACAAAGTGATTGTTCATATGTGCTTGCAAAGCTCATCATTGTTGCAAATTTGTTCTTTGATATCAATGTTCTGGAACTTGATGTTAAGTCTGCATTAAAGTGTCCTAATGTCTAGTAAATTTGCCATGTTATAAATCGTTACATGGAGATGTTTAAGTTTTATATCTTTGAATGGTCTTGAGAATCTTCTCTTGTGTTGGCATGAAATTTGAAGAGCAACTTTAATGATCTTTTTCCAACTTTATTTCAGAAAAAGTCTCCAGATGAGACGCCTTCGTATGAGCGTATATGTGAGGTACTCCAGCGAAACTCTGCTGCTCTGCAGCATAATCCTAATGA